ACAAGCTAATTTTCATTTTTGGGTGAACTAACCCTTTAAGCCAGAAAGGAGACCGCATGTTTGCGGCAGTGTGCCAAGTCTGTGGAATAGCTTACCTTTACATGCTGACTCTGTACAGGTTTTTAAAGTACATCTAAAGACATATTTGTTTGCCATGGCGTATTTTTCTTGCTCATATTTTTTAGCATTACTATTAAAGTTGTTTTAGGTGATGTTCTCTTTGTTTATTTCATTTTTATATTGGCACATTGGTCAACGTGTTGTTTTAATAGTGCTATATAAATACATTTGATACTGACATTAACACTACTGGTATAGAGAGGGAGTGTGTGAGTTCAGGTGTGTTTACCTGAGGGAGAGTGACCTGACTGGTTTCAAACGCTGCGTCTCGTCCCATCCCTTCGTCTAACTCGGCCTGCTGCTGCTGCATCTGCCTGCAGAAGAGCAAACCACACTGATGTGAGTGCGGTCCTACAGTCGTGACCGTCAGACACACCACCACCAACCACGGACACCACAGCTACCTACAGGAAGAGAGCATGCTGTTAACCCACCACCGACCGACAGCAGCAGACCTGAGGCTCACCCGAGAGAGCAGAGGAGAAAGAAAGACCCAGTGCGCCATTGGTCTGCTCTCACCTGGCTGTGACCTGCCCTGCGCTGGGGGTGGAGGGGCAGTTAGGACTGCTCTGCCCCAGTGAAGTGGGCAGTGAAACCCCCGGGGAAGAGAGGGGGGACAGGGAGTCCTGATTCGGCCCTCTACTGTCACGCAAACCGGAGGGATTGGTGGAGAGAAAGCGGTCAGATTAAACTGAGAGCCGAGCTGAATTAACACGCTCACCCTCTCAGACACACACAGCTCAACACTCTAAACTGACCCCAAAAATCAAAAAGAAACAAACGATATTATGTTTGCATAAAAAATATGCCAATTTTGGGGGGCATTTGGATATTTTGAATTGTGACAATTTTGCATTTTCAGGACAATTCAGCACATTTTACTTAAAGACTCATCATCATAATGTGTCCAGATGTTTATTTTAAGTTTGTATGTAATTCTCAGTGATGATTCACATTACTGTGATGCGATGACTTCACACAAACAAAAGTTTCTATTTCAAATAAATGCTGTTCTTTTGAACATTCTATTTATGACACAAATATTTATCAAAGAATACTGAAAAATAAAATGTATCACAGTTTCCAAAAAAATATTGGGCAGCACAACTGTTTTCAACATTGATAATAATCAGAAATCAGCATATTAGAATGATTTCTGAAGATCATGTGACACTGAAGACTGGAGTAATGATGCTGAAAATACAGCTGCGCATCACAGAAATAAATTACAGTTTAACAGATATTCACACAGAATATACAACAGCTGTTGTAAATTGTAATAATATTTCACAATATTACTGTTTTTACTGTATTTTTGATCAAATAAATGCAACTTTGATGAGCAGAAGAGACTTCTTTCAAGTAAAAAATCTTAGTGACCCAAATGGAAATGAAATCTGCATTACACTAAAGAGAATCAGGGAGGAGTTAGATATGCTAAATTGTCATGAAATGTCATATTTCACAATACAATTATCAGCTTCCTAATTTATATATTCTTCTTCTTTTCTATATAATTTCCTCTTTTTATTAATATTTTGGGGTGAAATAAGTCCCACACATTTTCGTGACATACACACACACCTTCAAACAAACTGAATTACATTTGATTACATCCACAGGAATTAACCTTTGATCATAAAAGCATATGATACACTGCATAAAGTCATACTAGGTTAGACAACACTGAGGCCTAAACAATCTGAGAGTATTAAACAGTGACCCCAAAAAGTCTTTCAATACTGAAGTTGCAATGTAAGCAGCATTAACTTGCATCAGATAACAAAATATCAAAGCAAACACCTTTTGCTGTGAAGCCAGAATGGGATCTTGTGATGCATTTCAGTACTAACTTGACATTGGCGTTGGTGCAGATGATGTACTCGATCTCTTCAGAGAAAGGGTTCTGGAAGGTGAACGAGCTGGTTCTCATCCAGATCCACTCGTGGGATTTAGAGCGGAACCGGAACATCACCGAGAGCACCTGACCTCGCAGTTTCACCACCTGCATCAGGGGTCAGAGGTCATTAATACATCTCACTGTTATGAAAACAACAGGCCCAGATCTACATTCTGATCATATCACAGGGTGGACTGGGGCTAAAAAGTGGCGCTGGACTTTTTGGACATAGAGCAGCCCACCATAAACCCACCAGCTCATTAGAGCTATTTTTAACACCACTTACTAACATACAAATGTAACACAATAGAGAAATAAAAATGCTTTTTAAAATTATTATCATTAACATTAATGCATGACCGTCAATACTTGTTTACATTATAATTTGTCTTTCCTGGTGTATATGGCAATTTGTAAATAATATTTTTACACATCTCTTTTACATAGAGGGACAGTTTAATATCACTCAAGTTAAATGCCTACCATAATATCAGTCCATATAACAATGCTCTGCTCTAGAAGACTTGGAATGTAGTGCAGAATGTGGACTGTTTTTATTGTGCCTTTCAATTGCTTGACAAGATTTTTTTTATGATGAAGAATTTTGTGATGATGAAAAATACAGAGAACTGTAATGTGTGAAATATATGAAGTAACAATTTAGAATAGCTGCTTTCTATGCAAATATATGGTAAAACATAATTTATTCCTGTGATCAAAGCTGTATTTTCAGCATCTTTACTCCAGTCTTCAGTGTCACAGGATATTCAGAAATCATTCTAATATGCTGATTTGCTGCTCAAGAAACATTTCTGATTATTATCAATGTTGAAAACAGTTGTGCTGCACAATATTTTTGTGGAAACTGTGATGCATCACCATTCAGTCTGGAGTAAGATTTAAAAAAAATAATAATACTTTTATTCAACAAGGTTGCATTAAACTGACTTAAGTGACAGTAAAGCTATACTTACTACAAATTATTTATATATAAAAAATGCTGTTCTTTGTATTCAACAAATAATCCTGAAAAAGTTAAAGTGTCAGTTTCCACAAAAATATTAAGAAACAAAAACAGTTTAAGTATTAATAATAAGAAGAAGAACCATTATGAATAACTGAGGACAAATAATAATTGAAAATAATTAAGCAGTAAATCAGCATATTAGAATGATTTCTGAAGATCATGTGACACTGAAGACTGGAGTAATGATGCTGAAAATACAGCTGCGCATCACAGAAATAAATTACAGTTTAACATTAAACCATTAAAATATCTTTAATAGAAAAATAGAACTTTCCTAATCACGGCACTTGAAAGCGAAAGTCTTCAGATTTACAATGTTCTAGAGTAAGTTTGAGAATTATATTTTTACAGTTTTTTGACATTTTCTTAGACACGGAAGAAATGTAACGGCATACAAACTTTCACTGTTATCTTATGTCTGCTGAAAACGGCTACGTTAATGTGACAAATAATGTAAATAGCATTAAAATCTAAGAAATTTGAAAAGGCCAGTAGTAGTTTGCATCCCTGAAAATGAATGTCTGTTTAACATTTTTTGTAAACAGTTGGCAAATACTGAACATATAAACATCTTACCTCAGCTCAGCTTTTCTGAACAGTAAATCCCGCCTTCTACGATTTGATTGGCTAAAACATTTTGACATTGACGAGTGCTTTTGAGCCGCTGCACTAAGCCAGAGCGTGCTAAATTAATTAATTAGAATGTTTGACTTAAGTGGGCTGCGCGGGCCATTCGTATGGGCCGATGGACAGATATAGGCTACATACATTTACTATAATTCATTCTTTATATTTACGCAACTGGCTGGCCCACAGTGGCCCACTGGGAAAACTCCCGGTGCTCCAGATGGCCAGTCCGCCACGGCATGATCATATAGCCTATTATATGTTAATGTGTCAATTTACCTGGCAACCACCATATTGTGATGATTGATACATTTAAATATGTATTAAACATTGGTGTAATATTGTTATTGCTGTCATTTTATAAAGGCAAAAAGCCCCAAAATGACTATTTCTAGTCATGGACACTACATAAAATTATATGAAATTTTTCTTACAATAACTTTGGTAACGGTGTCATTTAAATGCACACACACACCTGCTGAAGGCTGTCTCGCAGTAAGCCCTGGTCTTCTGGATGTGCAAACTCCAGAACGTTCTTCCCCAGTAACTCCTGTGTCACACAACAACACAAAAGATGGAAAACACTGCAACACTAGTGATGCACCCAAATGAATAAAAAGTCAAGTTTTAATTTAACTGAGAAAAATTAAACCAAAAATTAACTTTTTTTTAATGATCAATTAACTAATAAAATGTATTTAATAATCAGTACTCAAATAAAACTGAGTTATGTATAAACGTTAAAATATTAATCATAGAACATTTTCATATAAACATTTAAACGGTGACCGTAATTAAAACTTTTTTTCATGATCTCATGATTTATTTAAACATACATTAAATAATGAGGACTACAGGTTAAGTAAAATATAATAATATGTAATGCAGTGCATGTACTTATCAAAATGCTCCTCTAGTTATTGTTTATTTCAACACCTTCTGAAGTTCAATCATGTTTATTTTGAGCTATAACTAGTAGTAAAGAGGAACAGATGATCAGTTCACGTGCCACTTGAACTGAAGCTACAGCGATCTCACATTAAACAGCATCAAAACCACATTTATTGTTTGTATTTTGTAATAAAATTGATAGACTTTGAACGATCAGATTGTGTTTTACATCAAAAGTAACAAAACTTACTGTAATTACACCATGGTAAGAGCACTACAAATAGGGATGCACCGAAACCTGTATTTTCATGCATGTGGAATTAAAAAAAAAATACTGGGTACCGAAACCAAAAGAATATGTATAATGTTAGTTGGCTTAGTTCATTTATCAAATAGATATTTCCTTCAGTTATATTCTCACTAAATTATGCCCATTAAAATGTATTTTACAAGCTTTTGTTACACTGTTCATTTTTTTTGCTCTATGGTATTTCATCTTTAAATTAATAGCACATTAGAGCTGCTCCACTGCAGCAGCTCAGTACTGTAATCACAAGACGTTTTTCTGTAATAATGTAAGACACCACTCTTTATCCTATAGTCTATAAATCGTGTAACAGTGATGAACATATTTTCTGAAACTTAAGTTGCATTATTTTACACTGATCTATAATAGAGATATATATAGATTAGGCCTGCCCTCGACTAAAGATTCTTCTGGTCGAGTAGTAGTCGTTTATTTAAGCATAAGTCGACTAATCGCACATTTATTAATAAACCATTTAAATCATTATAATGAGCCTTTAATTGCCTATATAGCCTAATAGGCGCTAGAGCACATGCATGAAGCTTGCAACAGCGCACCGGCAGAAGTAATAATTATGAATGTGTGAGGGAAAAACAGTAAGGAGGCTGCATTAACATTTTAATAAATGTATTGATAAACTAGTGCTTTCTTTGTTTTCGGTTTAAGAGATGAAGTCGGCGACAATGACTCGCGCCTGTCTTCATACGGATTACATAATCTGAGAATATCTGTTTTCCATTTGAATTGGTTCATTTGATAGTAGACATTTTGCTCTGTCTATGTTTTCATATTTGTAAGGCAAGCAGGCTATACACGGAGCTTCAGAGTTTCGCGCTCACAGAGACTGAGACGGCAGAAAGCGCATCCTGTTTGCTTTCATTATTTTACAAAAGCGCAATGTTTTGTTGTTGTTGTGAGTGCACACAAATAAACGTAGTGTCTTTACAGATTCGAAAGATGTATTACTTTTATCTGTATGACCAGAAATGAGGGAGTATTTTAAGAGCAAGTGAGCGCAGCGGCGCCTCCATCTGTCCCGCAGTGAGTGTGCTACTGTTGAGCATTTCTCTAGGATAACATCAGATTGAGCGGTCATGTAAAGTTGCTAATACTTACATATTTCAGATGATAAGCCATATTTGAGGTCGATGAATGATAGGTGAGCGTTTGGATGTCCTGCGCAAGTACTGTATTACCACAAAGACCAGCCGTTAACGATCTGTTCATCTCGTGACTTCGCCTGTGGATTTGTTTTTTCTGCGACTAAGCGACTAATGACATTTTGGTCGACCAAGCCTCTTCTGGTTGACTAACGGTTGGTCGACTATTAGGAGGCAGCCCTAATATAGATCGATGCTTTTTATCATCTGAAACCTGCTGCGACTTATATTCCAAAGCAACTCATATAATGCAGGCTGAAACCAAAATGTTGGTGCATCACTATGCAAGACAGTGGAACTCAACAGCTACAATCAGCTAATGCAGAGCCAACTTAAAACATCCTGCTCTTCAGAAATGACCTCCTTTAGCCTGAGATCCAGCCTGACTCGGGCGTTTGAGGCCTACCTGAGGCTGGTAGCCAATCGTCGCCTGACAGCGGTGATCCACAAAGGTGTAGAGACCCTGACAGTTGTGGCGGGAAATAAATTCCACTGGAACGCTGATGTTATTTATGTTTGTGTCGCTCGGGCAACATGTGATCTGCATGACAACAGAGGATCTTAAAGAGACAGTTCACCCAAAAATTAAAATTCTGTCATCAATTACTCATTCTTAACATGCTGATCCATTCCTGTATGACTGCTGTTCATTTCTGAAACTCGCATGAGAGATTTCTCTTCCCCCATAAAAGTCTACACAACCAAAATTTTATGATTCATAAAGTTCATAACAACCATGTAAAGTGATCCATATGGATTGAGAGGTTTAGTCCAGGCTTTCCGAGGAGACACACTCACTTTATATGATGAACAGATCTGATTTATACACACACAAGAACAAACCTCATTGGTTCTCACATGACAAACAAGCACATGTGAGCTTTCGTCTACCATATTTGATGAGCTCTGTGAATGTGCGCTGATCAACGTTTATATATGTAAATAAAAGTCAATTCTAAGTAAATGTCAATTATATATAAATGGAAATTCAATCTGTTTACCATATAAAGCCATCATGTCTCTTCAGGAGACTTGGATTATACAGCTTGATTAATATGGATTACTTTTACAATCTCTTCATGAATTTTTCAAATTGTCAAAGTTTTGGTGGAATGGACTTTCAATGGAGAGACAGAAATCTATCATGTTTCATTAACAATATCTTCAATTGTGTTTCAAAGATGAACAAAAGTCATACAGGTTTGGAATGACTGAATGAAAACTGGAACAGTTTATTGAACCCATAAAAGACAAATGTTGAGTATCATATTTGATCTGTAAGGCTTTTAAGGCTTATATAGTATGATATATAGCGAAAATGATGAAAAACCAGCTCATTTTTATTCAGAGGCCCAAAAAGAGCAAAAATATGCAATTTGGTGCAATTAGAGTATAGCAGATACTTATGCAAAAAGATATAAATATCAGTCGTCACTCTATATCTGCCATTAATGTCTTAGTAAGATGATATTTAAATGATCAAAACATAATTCAATGCAACACGATGATTGAGAGATAAACAAATAAACATTCCTCAAAAGCCTGATGATCATGTGACAGAATTTCATTACACCTTTAAGTTGATGGTCATAAATCAGATATTTAAAGAATCACAGTTAATTAAAAAGTGGACATTATATTCTCATTTATTCACCCTAATGTCTTTCCAAACCCTTGTGTCTTCTCTTGATGTTCAGTAGAATGTCGATGTTGCTCTTTTTACAAACGATTAAAGGTAGAGAGCAGACATGAACTTGCCCTTTTAGAAAGATATGAGATTACATGAGTAAATGATGACAGAATTGTGCAAACTATTCCTTTGAATGTGATGCAAATCTAAAACACTGGAAAGTGAAATAAAATGGAAGGGGAAAAGTACCTGTAGCCTTCCAATGGCGACTAGACAGAAACGATTTCCCTGATTATTATCGGCCTCCTCTTCAGAAAGAGTCACTCCTGAGAGAGAAGGTAAAGGGACAGTATGCGTCTCAGTTGCGTTCTGACTGGACAGCGGGGTGAACAATAGACACCTCCTCTGTGTTGTGCTGTGGACAATGTTACCTGCAGGGGGCCAGGATTTGATGAAGCCTGTGCAGTGCACGACCGCATACTGCGGCTCGCCCTCCTTTTGAGGACCCAGTCCATTCCTGCAGGAGGAGAGATGGTCTTCATCTGCATCTGTTTAAAGACTGAGATATGTATATACAGAGAGAGAGCTGCCGTACCTGTTTCTGCTTCTCAGGAAGTTGAGTCTGTTCATGGACACCGGCTCTACGGGACACACTCCACATCTGGACACAGAGAGACACACACATTACAATCCACGTAATGCAGCATGTGAAATATTTCATAACATGCAAACATAATTGAAGACTTTTAATACTTTCCCTGAAAACCTTTTTTTTTGTGTATGCAAAAAATTTTAAGCTTTTTAATTTTAAGCAGTTTTATAGAAAAAAAAATGAAGCTGGAACCGTTTATTGAACCTTTAGACAAAATCTGAGTGTTATCTGTTTTGACACATCGGGCTAATTATGGCTCATATAGTCTGATATAGTGAGAATGTGAAAGAAAAAAAAAAAGCTCAATTTTATTTAAGGACCCAAACGGAGCAGAAATATGCAATTTGTTGCAGATGCTGATATTTACATGGACAAAAAGTAAGATGAAATTCTGATGTAAATCAATGAGATCTTTAGAACAGTGCAGCAGATACTGACATAAAAAGATATAAACATCAGTCGTCACTCTGTATCTCCAATAACACGTCTCAGTAAGATGAGATTTAAATGATCCAAACATATAATGCAATGCAATGCAATGCTGATTGAGAGATGAAGAAATAAAGGCTCCTCAGAAGATGTGAGATGTTTTGGAGGCTTGTGAAGATCATTCCTCCGCTGAGGAACAGTGAAAGTAAAGCTTCTGGAAACAAACGCTCCTCAAAAGATCCTGAGGATCAGATTTGAGACGCAACAGATTTTTCTAAAAAAATGATTGATGGATAATCAAGTGAAGCCGAGCTGCTTCAGTCCAGTAAGTATTACTAACAATATCAAAGTTACTCTTACATTAATTTATAAAAATCAGTAAAGATTTCACAGCATAAAGACACGTGAAGCACGAGCTGAAGGTGGACTTGGTTCAGTTATTAAAGGTCTGTTGGTTTGTTCTTCCTGTTCCTCACCTCATCCTGCAGATGAAGGAGCGGCGTGTGCCCATACTCATCCTCACAGAGGCCTGCCCACCCTCTTTCTTCACCGTGCCTGTTTTCATGTCCAACATCCGGCCTACAGTCAGAAAAGAGCAAGAGGAGTTAAACAGAAAAAGACTGTCAGCACGCAGGATGACAGCGATAAGAGTCGTTTCTCACTGGCGTTATTGTTCTCGCTGGTGGAGAGCTGCTCTCTGAGTTTCTCTGTGTCCTCTGGATGGAGCTGGTCGTACAGCGATGATCCGAGCCAATCCGACTGAGCCTGGTTCAGAACCGGTGTGACCGAGTCCGACACATAAACCACACGGCCGGTTTCACACGACACTATGAACAGAAAGCCATCAGCCGCCTCCAGAACTAGGTGCTTCAGCTCCTACAGAGACAGAGAGAGAGAGATAACAGCACATTTCGAGATGATGTTTAAGAAATTTTTAGATGAAAGTGTTAACTGAATTAAATCGTGAAAATGATTCAGTTCTGGTATAAAAAAAAAAAAAAACGGTGCCTGCTTCAAATTTACAAATATATTCTTAAAGAGGTCATCGGATGCCCATTTTCCACAAGTTGATATGATTCTTTAGGGTCTTAATGAAAAGTCTATAACATACTTTGGTTAAAATTTCTCAATGGTAGTGTAAAAAACACCCTTTTTACCTTGTCAAAAACAGCTCTGTTCACAGCGAGCCGTTTCGGTGCATGTCTCTTTAAATGCTAATGAGCTCTGCTGATCCCGCCCCTCTCTTCCGTGGGGTGACCAGCCGTACTCATGAGACTGTTTACTTTAGCCGCAAAACTTGCTAACTAGCACATTATTAAGAAAGGCGATTTGCAAAGACTCATAAAAAAAATAAAATAAAAAAAACTTATACTCACTTGAAGTTGGACCACAAATTATTAATGCGAACATAGACACATTTATGTAGATCGGGACGCATTCCCTTCAAAAACAAACGTAATCCACTGTGTCTTCAGCGGCTCAGATGTCGGGAGTAAATGATGACTGCTGTGTTTATTATTACAACAGAACACTTCAATCGCTTAGGAGTCATTCTTGTCTACATCTGCTCCAGCGGTGAAACAATAACGCACTGTTCACAGCTCACTCAGGGCTGGTCTAAGGTAAAACACCACTGTCAATCAACAATCGTGGGAGGGGCCTGTCTGTGTGACATCACACAGCCAAGAATCTGAGAACGGCTTGATTTGAGAAAGGGGATATTATTTATAGGGATTAAAAAAAAAAAACACCGAGTGGAATTTTATCATTATAGGGTGGATGTGTACACACACTGCCAAAACACATTTATGTTCAAACACCATGTAAAAGTGAATTTTGCATCCGATGACCTCTTTAAGAAATACATTTCTTACCGTGCGTTCACACCACCGCCGGCGAGAACGTCAAAATTCGTCAAAAGGAGTCACAAAGGAAACAAGCATGTTGATCTTGTGCAGACTGACCACTAAACATTAAACAATTTTAAGAAAGATAACCTTCTTACAAACTATTTTTGGGAATACAAAATATCTTTAACTTTTCTTCTGATTTTCTTAGAGGGATAGTTCGCCCAAAAATGTAAAAATTCTGTCATCATTTACTCACATTTACTGAACATAAGAGGAAGAGTGTTGGTAACCAAACAGTTTCTGGTCCCAATTGACTTCCAAGGTATTTTTTTTCATACTATGGAAGACAATAGGGACTGACAACTGTTACCAACAGGCTTCAAAACATCTTCTGTTAAGTTCAGCAGAAGAAAAAAACTCATACATGTTTGGAACAACTTTAGAGTCAGTAAATAATCAGAGAACTTCTATTTTTGGGTGAACTGTCCCTTTAAGTAAGAAAATAAGAAGATAACATTAGTTAAGAAGAACTTTACGCCTGACAATGTTTTATGAATCTGGGCCCTGTTTATGTGCAACGAGGAATAAATACATTTCTATCATCAATGCAGTCCATATCTGACCTGGTCTGTGAGAAAGGAGGGTTTATATGCTCCATCGGTGCTGCTGCTGCTGCCGCTGCCTCCGAAAGACTTAATGTGCGACACAGCCATGCGCAGGATGGTGAGCTTGTCTGGTTTGCGCGCCAGAGCGTTGCAGGTGGGCACCATGTCTGACAGCTCCGTGATGTAAGCGGTCATCTTATTCCTCCGCCTGCGCTCGATCTCGCTGTGATTCTCCCTGCGGTCAGGAGGTCATGAGAGATGGGCGGCGCATGCAATCGTGGGGAGAAGAGAGCAGGGACAGAGAAAAGGTCGAGAGAAAGCAATGACGAGAAAACGAGAGAGAGAGAGATGGATGAATAAGCAAATAAAGACTGCATCAATGTGCTCGTCAAATGAGACAACACTCATCTCTCCATGACAAAACAAATGTGTATGAACAATCTCATGAGAGCTGAAAGAACAAGCCTCTTCAAACGGCCTGAGAAAAGAAGAGAGGGACAGAAGAAGTGCTCAAAAGAAACACCTGAAATAAAGTGTAAGACAATGACAGACTGCTGGCTGTCCAGTATTACTGCATACTACAGTGTATACCGAGTACTATTTTCAATAAATAATATGTCCAGCGGTTCTTTTCTGTCTGTTCAAAGTTCAATCATCAATGGCAGTTCAAAAGGTGCAAAGTTTTCCAAGAAGGAACATTTTGGCCAGATTTTGTTCAAAATGAATCTGTTTGTTCTTCGATTTTGCTTGAAATATATCAGAGACTTAAAGCAAGACACTACATGTGAATAGGCTAAAATCATCATACAAGGCAAAAATCCCTGATTAATCACAATACATACAATGTTTTGCATTTAAGTACAAACGAGGCATCATCGAATTAAATGTGCAATAATTTGCTTACATTTCCAGCAGAGAAATCTGAAAACTGGATGAAGCCAGGTTCAAAATTCTTGGAAAAAATTGGATCTCTCTCCATAAATACTGTTAACAGCTATAAAAAATATTTTTTTACCAATAAATAAAGAAATAAATCATGGAGATATATATATATAAATATATGAAGAGTTTATTTGCAAAAACAGATAACTCAGTTTTTTTTATTATTTTTAAAAATCATGTTTTTTATTATGCTATCATGATTTGATTGTGTTAGTTAGCTGTATTTTTAGTTATTTTTAACCTAATCAAAGTTATCTGCTTTTGCAAATGAACTCTTCATATATATATATATATATATATATATATGAATAAACCCCTGTGTAAAACCTATACATAGATATAGATAGGAATAAAACTGTAAAGTGCTGCTGAAGTGGAGAAAAGCTCACAGCCTTTAAAGATACGCATTGTAATTGAAATCAAATGCAAAAAGAAAAAGTGTAACAAAATAAATACTGAAATGTATATTTTTGCATGCTTCCACTAGTCTGAATGAAGTCATGATATAAAACCAACATAGCTCTCAAAACTGATCAGTGCATGAAAAAACAATGTTTTGCCGTAAATGTGTCAAACAGCAGTAAGCTACTTTTTTTCCTCACATGAACTCATATTTCATGCTTAATTCAGGGAGTGGCATTCAGTAATCATCTTGCAAATAAAAAGTTATAGTGCATTTTTTGAGCATCCAATTTGTTTCTTTGGCAGTCCGATTAAATAATAAGGGAAGACAGAGATATTTTTTAAAATACACTTTAAAAGCATTGGCTGATATAGCAACGTTGCATGAGTTTGGGCCTGTTCAGCCAAACAAAGGAAGACGGGAAGAGTGTTTGGAAACCTCACTATGAATACCATAATGACAGCAGCACATAAGATCAGATGATCATATTTGTACTTTTCACGCACTCTGATTTCCATCAGTCAATACCTGGCAAATCTCTCCTTGTCATTCGATCCGCCTCCATCATCATCATCATCATCACACCTGAGAAGCCAAAATGAGAAGAAGCATATGTTGTTGAACACAGTCATAAGACAGGCAGCTCGGCACAGTTCAAACCCGGCTCGAACCCTCGAGTCACGTCATGACTAACCTGAACAATTTGCTTCCCTCATCGTCGTCATAGTCCGAGCTGGAAACCAGGGAAATTCACATTAGTCAGTAATATTGCACAACTGCAAAACATTCCCGCAATTCTCCACCCACTCGAGAGACAGAACAAACAGAGCGAATCAAGTCAACCACAGACACTCAATAAACAAGCACACTATTGTTGGCCAAAACCAGAGTGTCATTCCTGTGAATTTGCCTCTGGAAAGCTACTGTTCACGTTCAGCTCTCTAGTCACGCATGGTGTATATTAAGGGACGGTTCACCCGCTCATCACACAAACCCCTGCGACTTTCATTCTTCCGTGCAACCCAAAAGAAGACATCAGGAGAATTGTTCACGCTGCTCTTCATCAACAAACAGGAACAGACAGCGTCAAGCTCCAAAAACGACACAAAGTGAGCATGATAAAGTGTCATAAAATTTGCATTATTTCTAAGTCATGCACTCAGGAACAAAGTGTGCATTTATGGTGCTTTTGTCCTTTTTGGAGCTTGTAAGCCTCAGTCAAGTCATTTACTTTTAGCACTTTATACAACACAAGACGGTTCCAAAGCATTCACAATGCAGGAAAATAGCAGTGTTAATGTTGCAAAATGCTTCACTTATCAAATTGAAACTCAATTTGAGGTGTAAAGCAGCTCCACAGGAGACAAAAGTGTCCTTATTCTGCTCAAGTCAGTTCAGAGTTGGTTCAATTCAGTTCAATGTGTCGATTTCGCAGAAGTTAGTGTCATTATTCGGTTCAATTCAGCGGTCAAATTGATAATATTACTTAATATGTACTGTCTTCTGAACCACTGCCCATGTAATTCCACTTTATAGAAAAACCAGTTTGCACATTTCCCCAAAAGATTTCCTTCTGAGCTCCACAGAATACAGCAATAAGAAAGTGAGGACAGCACCTTGTTTTGACAACTGAGATCAACTGAACACTGCCAGAAGTGCTTTAATAATGTTTAGTGCTTTTATATCTGTGGTGTAGACGGCTCAGTCAGACTTAGTCTTTTAATGTTTAAACTTCTGTGTTAATCTCAGTTGGCAGCTGGTTTAAAAAATGTTTTTCTTAATTGTTCTAATTGTTTTATATTATTATGACTCTTTTTGTAGCACTTTGAGAATTTCTTTAAAATGTAAAGTGCTTTATAAATAAAATGGATTATAATTATTATTATTACTTACTAGAGGTGTCCCCGACTAAGGATTTTCATAGTCGAATCGAAATGTTTTCTAATCTTGCCGATATTCGACTGATAGTCGAATCATATGTTTTTGGGGCGGGGCAAAATACATTACCAAGAGAGACATTCTACAGTCATAATTACGTTAACACACAGGGAAAATGTGTAACGGACGCCTCGCAGATACAAACGGGGTAAATAATGTTTTATGTTTTGATTAAAACATAGTTAACGTCAGCGAAACTCTAAGAATTCACAACATTTTTTACAATAGTGCTCTCATAATAACGTTATGTATATCACAGTAGTTATTAATGTTCTGCATTTCTGTTTCGAGCTGCGCGCGCTGAAGATGACCAGTCGAATGAAGCAGCAGGTTTTTAATCAATGGGATTTAACTCATCATTTATCTCATATAGAATACGCTTCGTTATTTATACAACATAACGTTAATATTACGACTTTTAGGATATCTGCACAAAATGCTCCGAATGCACATGAACGTGTCTGCACGGCTCTGAATGAACTCCTTTTGTGGACGCATTCTTCACACAACAACGTGCAGAAACACGGCAACTAAACTCTAAAAATTCACAGCGTTTTATTATAATAGTGTTCTCATTATAATGTTATGTGTATGACAGTCCCAGTCGTAGTTATTCATATTCTGCATTGTTGTTTGTCCTGCTCTCATCACTTGTACCCTGCCGCCAAGATGCTCCTCTGTCGGTCACGGATTATGGAAAGTCACACTTAAATCTATAGGGGTGGTTGGATTTATTCACACACGTTAAAATATTTATTTGAAGCTTCTTTCTTTTCAGATTATTATTTACATCATTATCATAAAAGGCTGTATATTAACTTATTGGGAGAAAACTGGTAGTTCTATGTGAAATCAGACATTGAGCACCCCCACATAGCCAAAATGGCATGATCAATCAGACATTGAGCATCGAATCTTCGACTATTTGGGGCCACCCCTATTACTTACGTGGCTTGTCGTTTGCTGTTGGCCTCTGGCACAACGGCGGTACTGTTAGCATGAGATCCAGCTGCTGCGGCCAGTGACGGCACCTCAGGCATATCTGAAACACACACACGCACACACACACACACACACACACACACACACACACACAGAGACAGACCACACACACACACACAATCAAACACTCACGACTAATAACTACACAGAATATTTATGTATAGCCTATACATAACAATAGGCTAAAGAAATGCATAGTGTAGTCTTGCACTATAATGCTTTAGATGATCTCAAATCATCACCAGTAAATTGTTTATGTGCCCCTAATCTAACAAAAAATTACAGACCGATATATCGGCTAGCCTGACAAACTGACAGTTTCAAAATCTACGTTCAACAATTAGGGTGCGATTAGGTGTCCCATCACTTCGTAGTGGCATAAAATCCCAAGTTTTTCTGTGATACATATATATACATAACCAAACACAGCATTTAATTGATATCTATTTCAAATAAATACTGTTCTTTTGAACTTTCTGCTCCTAAAATATTCAGTAAATATTGTTTGCAATAACATATCACTATTATAAATTTACAACGGAAAGACATTTATAATGTTACAAAAAAATTATATTTCGAATAAATACTCTTCTTTTGAAATTTCCTGTAATTTGTAATTACAGAGTCATAATAATAATACTAATAAAAATATATAATTATCTGCGACCCACATTCTTGTCTCACATAACAAAATAAGAATAATTAAATCAAAATAAATATTCCTTGAATTTGTGATATCCCGTAAATTTTACGCACACTGTAATGCTGACTGCATTCATCAAGCTCAAATATATTCAATATAAAACGATCAATAATTATAAACCAGCATTTGGTCCCAAGCTAAGCAGGTCCCATTTGGTGACATTTGGTTTATTTAACTACAGGTGCATCTCAATAAATTAGAATGTCGTGGAAAAGTTCATTTATTTCAGTAATTCAACTCAAATTGTGACATTCTAATTTATTGAGATGCACCTGTACATGCATGAAATAAAAGACACACAAAATAAGATGCTATAAAGAATATATTAAGTTCATTAAGATATTTTGTAAATGTTCTACTGTAAATATATCAAAACTTAATTTCTGATTAGTAATATGCATTGCTGGACAACTTTAAACATGATTTTCTCAATATTTAGATTTTTTTGCACCCTCAGACTCCAGATTTTCTAATAGTTGTGTCTCGGCCAAATATTGTCCTATCCTAACAAACCATACATCAATGGAAAGCTTATGTATTCATCTTTCAGATGATGTATTAATCTCAATTTCGAAAAATGGACCCTTATGACTGGTTTTGTGGTCCAGGGTCACACATGTGAGTGCTGTTTTGGGCCTGTGTGTGAATGACAGCTGAAGCACACACTGCTACACGTGTCAGATCAGTCTGTCACCGCTCCTGCAGCTCTTTGCTAAGAAAAACAAACCCTTTTTCTCACTGCAAACGGCAAATGTTTGTCCAGTTTTTACTCCGTGAGCTTCTGTTATAGGCTATATCACAACAGCTAGGCTAACAGCTGCTCGAGCTAACCAGCGCAACCGCTTATAATGAGCGAAATCAACACAAATCAGACATTTAAGAGGAAAACATTCGGGTTTTATACGATACCTGCATTGGCTGATGCCATATCCGACAGGTAAAGGTGTTCGCGAACGAGCTAACACATACAAAACAACTTTCCCAGCTGACGAGAGAAATCTCCCTGCTCCACTGTGTCTGGTTCTGTTTTATTCCGTCCGAGTTTCGAACAAGTATTTTAAAACAGATGTCATGACTTCAAACCGAGTGTCCGAACGGACGGGTTTGCCGATGTTTTATAGTTGTTTTTTTTGTTTTCCTGCTCTTCGACTTTTTCCAGTTTAAAAGCCTCCCTTGATCCAAGATGGCGCCCGTAATCTTTCAGTCAGCAGCAGAAGCGCGTCAGAGGAGGAAACTAGAGGCTCCACGCGGATCAGACGCGCCACTCTGCGTCCAATGTTACTATTTTTCCTGTTTTTTATTTTTTTTATTTTTATGATTATTATTTTATTATTATTCATGCATCTGTTGTAGGAAGGGACCGGAAATCTGATGACGTCTGCTGAAAAAGTAAGCGCAAGTAGGCCTTTATCCGCTTAACCAATAGGAGTAGCCTTTGGAGATCACGTGACACGACGCGGAAGAGTCTCTCCAGTGGCGTTCCTTCCGTTCACTTTGCGTCTATAATAAACTAAAATACACTTTAATGTCATTTCTATTTAAACGTGTATGTCATGTGTTAAAATATATTAGTAATTCCACATTTTGTAATGAAGTTGCAATTTGGTAAATTTAAAACTGATGAACTTATCTACAGTTAAAATAATAATCAAGTACTTGTGCTTTAGTAGATTAGTCAACACATCAAAATGCTTCAACTAAATTGTTTAAAATGTACTTTAATGTGGCCTTTTATTTATTTAATTGATATTATATGATGTTCTATATGATCTGAAGTGCACATTTAAAGCTACTTATTTACTGTCACTGTAAAATGTCCCACATTTCTAATGTTTAATATGTAAATAAACATGTTTAGGTTATGTCAGCTGCAAATGTATGTAACTATAAAATCTCTGTTTATGTGACCTATGAAGAGAAAGGTCATCTTACAGCCCTGGAGCACTTTAGGGGTCTCCTGTGGGTTTTTATACTATTTTGGATTCATATATCACAATAAAATAAGGGGCTGTGGTAGACACTACTTGAAGAGACTTTAACAATATAACATAATCATGTTTATTAATAACAGAGAAATCAAACGTGTGACTTACACTCAGTATTTTGTTGTTAACATCCTCCATAATGGCATCATATTACAAAACACAGGCAAATACAAAATAGAGATAACACTGTAATCGACTCGACTGCATCTGAAACAAAGTCCAGAAGAGAATGCTGGGACGTTGACAAGGACAATGGGAGGAATGATGAAATCCGAGCAGGACACAGACAAATGAGAAGATCCTAATTCATCTCGGCAGCTCGAGACGCAAGAAAGCAAGACGTTTACAGCAGCAAACTGCATCAACACGAGCTCACACGTTTACACAATCAATCTAGCTTTGGCTGGCAGCTCATGGATATTCAGAATCTGTGAGAAAATGAACGAGCAACCGCTGGCCGATACGTGTTTGTTCAGTGTTAGCAAATATGGGTTTAATATCACATTCAGAAACTGAATGGTAGTGGTTTTCTCATCAAAAGAGCTGGCAGTGAATTGCACGGTTTGCACACTATGTTAGAAAGTTAGTAACATTTGGCCATATTTAAAGGTGCACTCAGTTATTTTTGGTGTTCTGGCTGATCGTCCTGGGTTTATAGCCTACTCATCATACAAAACAGAACATTTCTGGTAACCAATGTCATCGCAAAATGCATTATTTACAGTCAGCCGTCAACATTACCGAAGCATTTCTGTGGGCAAAATCCAGTCATTTCAATATGAATTCAATACGTGAAAGAGATCAGAAATCGGTTTGGTGATTGACGAGAGACAATTTACTTTTTTTGCCATTAACAATGAGTTGTGACCACACATTAAGCCCAAACTGGTCCACTTGGTGTTCAGATGTATTCAGTCGAAACATTCTGTATTATAGGATGGATGGTTATTCTCTGGAAAAAAGATGCAGTAACTTGCAGTTTTTTAAATGAAAAACTAAAAACAAGACATGAAAAAGAGCAAACAATGGCAAAGGAAGGCACTGTTAAAAGGCACAGGTCACCTAAATAATTCTGTCATCATTTACTCATATGACTTTCTTTTTTTTTTAAGAATGGGTTTAGCATTATATCAGATCTGCTCTCTATGGAAGTCCATTTCTGCCACAAAATATGGAAATAAAAAAGGTAAATGCAACTTTTTGTCTCAGAACTCACAACTGTTTGTTTTCCTCAGAATTGTGAGATATAATCTCATATTATAAAGCGGAGAGCTTGATTCTGATTGGCTGAGCCGCGTTCCAAGCTGTTGTAAATTACTCTACAAACATACACCTTTGTTTACTTCTGTGTGTTGCTCGGCAACTGCTTTGTTGGAACTACATTGTTTGGTGGAAGAATACTGTTTTTTATTTTGTGAAACCGTACTACGTATATGGAATAACCGTTTTATAAAAGCAATAAGCCCCGTGAAGCCGTGGTTTACAGTGAATTTATAACAGCTATAACGACAGTTAGTCGTTAAGGTGTCCTTGTTACACATGTTACATGTAATTACTATTATAAAATAAAGCAATAAGCCCCAAGAAGACTCCCGCTTCGCGTCGTGCCTTAACAACGCCCCTTAGCTGTTATAAATTCACTGTAAACCACGGCTTCACGGGGCTTATTGCTTTTATAAAACGGTGCTTCACGGGGCTTATTGCTTTAATTGAGAGTTCCATGGTGGGGAAAAAAAAACACAATTGCGAGATGTAAAAAAAAAAAAAAAAAAGTCTGAATTGTGAGTTTCTGTCTTGAAATTCTGTGTTTATATCTCACAACTCTGACATTTTCTCTGAATTGCGAGAAACAAAGTCTGAATTGCACAATTGAGGAATTTTTTTTTTCCATAGCTGTCTTCCATACAATGAAACTATAGGATTTCCAGCTCTAGGAAGCACAAACGCAGCATAAAAGCAGTCCATATGAGACTTGTTTCGACAGATCTCTGTGAGGAACAGACTGAAAATCTTGCTTGACCGCCGTGGTCACCATTGATTTCCATTGTATGGGAAGAGCAGTTTGGACATTCTGCTGTAAATAACTGCAAGAAATTTGGAACAGCATCAGCAAATGATGTGTATTTTTAGGTGATCTGCTCCTGTAAGCATGTGTCAATAGAGGCAGCACTGCTCCCTGTTCGCTTTGGCCCGCTGTGTCTGTGTTCGTGTGATGCTTGTGTGTGTTTGTCTGTAGTGTAGACAGCAATCGATCCTCTGTTCTTCACCCGTCTCTGCTCTGCTTCAGCAGAGGAAGAATCTCCAGGTTTCTGAATGTTTCTGTCCTCTCAAGACGTCACTCTGTTTTTTTAGAGTGGTTGTTGTTATATGTAGCGTGGCCGTTCTGAGCTGGTCCGTTTTTCTGTATCTCTCCATTTTTCAGCTGTTCTTCTTCCTCTGACTCGTCAGTCTCCTCTCGATCGGACCTCTCGTCTTCTACCGACGACTGTTGAGGAGAGAAAGTGATCTTCAGATATATTCACAAAGACATCACGGGACAGTTCCCCCAAAAATGAAACATCTGTCATCCTTTACTCAGCCTCATGTCGTTCTAACCCGGTATGACTTTTTATTTTCAAGAGAACGAAAAGTGTGATATTCTGAAAAAGTGATTTTCACAAAGCTCAAACTTCCAAAAAAATAAAAAACACACAAAGTGATCATGAAAAAAATTCCCTAAAATGTCTTCACCCTCAGTCCATCCGAGATTAGGATGAGTTTGTTTCTTCATCAGATTTGTAGAAATGCAGCACTGCATCAGTGTCTCAGCAATGGATGCTCTGCAGTGAATGGGTGCCGTCAGAATGAGAGTCCAAACAGCTGATAAAAACATCAAGAAACAAACTCATCTACATCTCGGACGGCCTGAGGGAGAGCACATTCACAGCAAAATTTCATTTTTTGGTGAACCATTCCTTCAACTAATGGGATCTTCTAAAGTGTTACAGATAAAACTAGGTGTAAAACATGCAGACGTACGTTACTGCTCAAGAAGCGGAAGGCCAAGCGTATGATCAGCACGGCCCAGAAGATGTGCAGACACAGCAGAACCATCAGCAGCCCGTTAAAGAAGTAATATACGAAGAACGGAGGGTACAGGGTCACGGGATACACCCATGTGCAATACATGATCCTGAGAGACAGACAGAAACACCTTCTAAGACATCACACTAATTTGCCGTGTTATACAGTATTACACATCTTTGTTCTCAACCAAACAATTTAGCACCTGGTTTTACTTGTGCACGTGTATAATCACGCTTATATCCATAGAAATACACCACGACTGTATCATAATCACATCTGCTGTGGCATGTTTGATGACAGCATGTGTGTGGAGAGAAACACAGAGAGAGAGAGACGGATGAGCTGGTTACCGGAAAGGGAAGATGATGAGGCGAGTGACGATGAAGATCGCAGCAAACAGGATGAAGATGTAGTTGCATGCGTTCTTCCATCGGGCGTAGTTAAACATCTTAGCTGACTGAGAGAGAGAGAGATGATATGAGGGGGAGAGACTGATGTGTACAGAAGAGGGAGAGACAGAAATGTATTTAGCACATTTTTAACACTGACATGGACAACTTGAAGACAAATGATTGGGAGGATGTGTCTCTTACAATTTCTACAGAACATACTCCAGGATATACTTTAGTATGATTTTTAATGTTTATAAAAAGTCCCAAGGCCGCTGCGTTTATTTGACTAAAACTATGGGAAAATCAGAAATATTGTGAAATATTATTATAATTTTAAAGAGCTGATTTCTGTGTGGTTATGTGTTAAACTGTAATTTATTTCTGTGATGCGCAGCTGTATTTTCAGCATCATTACTCCAGTCTTCAGTGTCACATGATCTTCAGAAATCATTCTAATATGCTGATTTACTGCTCCAGAAACATTTCTGATTATTATCAATGTTGAAAACAGTCGTGCTGCACAATATTTTTGTGGAAACCGTGATGTATTTTATTTTTCAGGATTCACAGATGAATAGAAAGTTTAAAAGAACAGCATTTATTTGAAATAGAAATCTTCTGCAACATTATAAATGTCTTTACTGTCAATTTTGATAAATCTAATGCTAAATAAAAGTATTGATTTCTTTAAAACAAAATCAAACTTTTAATCAGTTTTGCCTAAAGTGCACATTTTCTGTGACAAATGTGCTGTGAATACTGTACCCACAATGCAATGCACAATTTTACACTGTTCTTTCCAGTGAAGTACATACTTTAAGTGCATATGTTAGCATTGGCTTACAATAATACATTTTATCTAGTTTCATGGGGAGAAAAAATAAATAAATCTGAGAAGCACCACCTCAGAAGTAACTTGAAGAGCTGTGAACATTCACAGATTACAGGGTTTGAACCAACAACTAAACAGGCCAAATCTTTAATAACTAAGATACACAACATCTAAACTACTCTATTGTGTTGACAATACATTATACCTCTGTCTAATGTTTTCAATGATTTAAACAAGCTGAGTAATTGGTTGAGATGTTGTCACGTGTCTGTGAGGTTGTTCTTCTCACCTCGAGCAGATAGTCGGCTGAATCATGAATGAACATGATGAGCGTTCCCGCTCTGATGTAATTAACACACCAGGAGAAGCTGATCAACATGATGGTGGCCACGTGATGAATGACCTGCTCTTTGAAGTCCTGCAAGAGACAGTGAGAGACGCTAAGATCAGTACGCAGTTATGAGTTCTTCATACTACGTCTGTCAGTTTAATGTGATTCATTATGAAGCTCCATCATGGTCCCTGACTCACACATTTCACAAAGCTTTTCTTTTGTTTATTATGCATCCCTTTCCCATGAGGTCCTGTTATAATGTTACTCAAGATGTCTGTCATAATTTAGTTCTTAATGACCAATAATATAAATAATAAATAAATATATCTAAATATAAGTAATAATAAATGTATTATAATATAAATAATAATACATCTCTTTGAAACAAAAACCATGTTAAATTACACTAATTGAAAAAAATATACATACACACACACACACACACACACACACATATATACACACACACACATATACAGTATATACACACACATACACAAGACACATACACACATATATATATATACAGTATATATATATATATATATACTCACTCACACACACACACACACACACACACACACACACACACACACACACACACACACACACACA